CGCTGGGCACAACTTGTGTCGCTCCGCTCCGTGGCGGTGGGAGGGCTGACGGTCCCTTCGCAGAGCTCGGAGTAGGGCAGCGTTAGTCGTCCTCTGTGGGGGCCAGCGGGACGTTTTCACTGGTTAGACCGGGTTTAAAGGTGCTTCTCGCGTGAGGTGTGCTGCTCTGTAAAAGGCAAGGAGATGATTGCGGCTGTACCCATTATCCCTAAGGGAATCTGATGTTACATGCACGTGGAACACAGTCCAGGATCAAAAACCGGTGTGTTGAATAGCATAGAGGACGGTGGGATCAGAATTATCCTTAAAAGATCAAAAGCTGGAGACAGACTGACCACCGAGTCCTTAAGGTAATCACTGACGTGAACTATCAAGTGCGTGCTGTTCCCTGGCAGTATTTCCCTGATAACTGTCGGTGCCCATTAGGAAAGCGAAGGGCTGCTCTGCTTCTCCCTCGCTGCACTTCTCCAGAAGCTTTGTGAAGGAACACCCATTTGGAGAAACAATGAGGAAACCTCTGCTCTGCCATTTATCGTGTGACTGGGTTGGTGTGTATTAGGCATTAATGAGCCCGATAAGAGTCCCTGACTCAGGGCAGGAACCGGGGGGGTGCTGCGAGCAGCCGCCTGGGGAAATACTCAGCCCGTGAGTGAACCAGATTTATGCTGTGGAGGAGGGTGTGTTTCGGAGTAAGAAGTGGGCCTTTCAGCCACAGCTGTCAACAGCTGGTAATTGCAGTAAGTTCCTCGCTCCTCCCCGTACATCTCTTATCTGAGCTTGTTACTGCGAACATCAAAGCACGGAGCAAATTGGTGGCTTTGAAATATCTTCACTGAAAAGTGTCGGTTTGGTGTTTGTTTGTTTTCCCCTGAGCCTTGCTGACAGTTGTGTGTAGCTAATACTGATATTTATCTTTTAAAGTGAGGTGGAAGACTAAGGAGATGTTCTACTCCTTAAATCCGACTTTTCTCCTTCATTCCAGTTCAAGGGCACGGTCTCTAAGCTCTTGCAGGCTGTAGCAGTAGATTTTTGCCCGTGGCAGAGCACCATCATTTTAGTTTTTTTATTTTTTTTCAAGTCTGGGGAATAGTTCTTACAGAACTGTTTGGACAGTAAATTTCTGGTGATGTGAAGCAGCTCTAGAGCTGTTCTAAAATGCGTGTGATCGTCAGCTGGGGAGGCTGAAAGTCTTTTAAGGGTGATGGAGATGATGCAGCACTGTGTAAATTCCGTGCTGAACCGTGTGATTGTGTGGTCAAAGCTGAAATTTGAGAGCAGCAAAGCCTAATTACTGATATTATTGACTAACAGCAATACTTAATCAAGACAGCTTTTTTGATGTTGCTTAAAGGTTAAGTGAAGTGGATGATCTGTTTTGTGGTTAATAATCCTCAGGAGAGGCATCTCCTGAGCCTTCCCAGGCTGTTCCCAGCCCACCTGGGGAATTCCCAGTGGAGGAGCTGCAGGGGACAATAGGGAGGTCTTGGTGAGGGATGTGACTCTTACCCAGGATCAGAAGGCAGCTCATTTTAGGTTTGTTAAACAATGGGTGGTGAGTGGCCTGTTTATGTGACTATTAAATAAAAATATATGGGTACTGTGTATATAAACTTCATATGTATTATAAGTCTTTAAAAAAAAGAGAGAAGGGAGGAGGTAAGCCCTAGGAAGAAAGAAAAGCTGTTTTTATCTGAAGAAGATACGAAGAAATTGCCATTATTAAATCAAAGCTGCAGGTTGGAGTTGTATCTTCTGCCATCCCCAGAGCACAGGTGTCCCAGAACAACGAGGGACAAAATTTCCCACCTAAGTTGGGTTATAATATGGATTTATGGAAGGGGGTATATGTCAGTATCTATAATGCAGAGCTCTGGATTTAAAACTGAGCTTCTCTTTCATTTTCTTCTTCTTACTGTGTTGGCTGCAGTTGAATTTGACCTGATGTTACAGAGTAAGTAAAAATAGTCTCTTAAAGCTCGGTTTTTTTCTTAACAGTTGTAGAGTTTTTTGCTACATATGGAGCT